GATCATGACTTTTGCATAAAATCTTACAAAAATAATATGTCATGCAGAGTGTGCTATGTACCAGTAAATTAAACTCACTAAAATCCTTCGATGCATAATAATACGAATAAAGAATTGAAAAGAATAAGAGTAAGAAGTGCAATTTTGATTAAATTGTAATGTACTAGGAAACCCTCAGGGATCAGAAGCAAGCAAAATAAAATGGAAGTAATGCATGAAGTTCAGAAGAATCTCTTCAATCCTCCTTTAATGCTATATAATTAGCCTATTATAGCAACTATAAAGGACTGCCTTCTTTCTCATCTCTCTTGAATAATGGCTAGAATAAACTGCCTTTTTATTCTTTTGCTTTCTTGATAAACGCCGTTCAGGTTCTGACTGCTTTTCCATCGTTCCTGTTGAACTGCAATTCTCACTACCATTTTCACTTTCTCCCGATCGTAAATTCCGTCGAAACGATTGTCTATTTCGAAATGATGCAGATGGTGACAGAAGTGACATCGCAGCCCCGCTGTTTTGTAGTGATGTTTCGCACCCAAACTGTATATACGCCAAATAGTAATTGAAAGAGCAACAAAAATTAAAATGAAGCTATATCAATTTTTTACTAAGAAAGAATGTAATCAAAGATAGCTAATAAACAGAAACACTCTTAGTTCCAAAGTTTGAAATGCATCACATTACGATTTCTCGAGAAAATACCTGAATCATATCCCATGCAATCTTATTAAAAACAAATAATTATTTATCAGAGAATTTGCAAGCGCATTAAATGTATTGATAGAAAAAACAGAAGGACACCATAACTTTTGACATGAATTTTATCAGTAAGCAACGACTAATACTAAACTCTAATTAAACTAGTGTTTCAATGTAAGCTGACATTTGTAACGCCTGTAAAATTCACTTCTAAATAGCTTAAAAAAAGAATTATTCGACAAATTTAATTTCATTTCGTAAACATTATTGCTTTCTCACATTTTACTAATAACCGATTGGTAATTAATAAAATCATATTTCTGTTTCACAACATGACTAATTTAAATATCAACAGAAAACTGAAAAATACTTGAGGTTTCTTAGGCATGGAGAGCTTCGATTTTGCTAACTGCTTGTTAGTGTGTTTGAATTCAAAATGCACTTCTTCTGAACCTTTTAACTGTGCAGTGTCATCTGAAACTAAATATTTCTTTTTTAATGAAAATAAAGCTTGAAATACTCCTAAATGATTTCAGAACTCCCACCACAAGATGAAATGAATTAAAAACTAACGGCAATTTGCTTGTATATTTAACTACATAGCTTTATAACAGGATATAAAGTTACTCTAATCTCAAGTTAATAGGTCAAATATTTATTCAATCTTCAAATTCGTTTTTTCCGCATTATCACAGGAAAAGAATACTTGTGCCTAACGCTGATATGGATTGTGTTTCAGCAACTTCAACTTCTGGATGCGCTCTCTGATCACCAACTGCTACAAGAAAAAACTATTATCTCGATCATTCGACAGCCACTTTTAACAACTTCATTAAATCTCGTAAAACAATATAAATTGAGAATTTTAAGTTGAAATTAAAGGCCAATGTGAAATTAAAACGCATTAAGTTTAAGCATAAAATATTGCGTTGGACGACACGAAATTTGATTTTACTAACATTAATTTTTGTCTGTTAAATCTACTTATTTTAGAATAACAAAAAATTCTTAAACACTGCGAAATTAAAAAAAAGAATATTAACAACAAATAATTTTCTAGTTTGCTTACAAGAAAAATGAGAAAAAATGGTACTTACAATGAGATGGATTATCATCTGCAATATTAATTTCTAAATTTTCAACTGCCTCATCTTCCTCATCCAATTTACCCTCGAGTAAAAACTGTTCCATTTGTAATTTTTCAATGTCCGCTTTCAGCCGTTTATTCTTAATCAAAATTTTACGCTTTAGTCGATTAGGTGATGGAAGTTGCACTCCTGATTCCAGTGGATAATCATCTAAAGGCTTTGACAGTAACATATCACCAAATATTTCTACACAGTATTTCGCCATTTTAAGTTGATTTAGTCTGGAGCAGTGGTTTTCGAACGATAAAATCACAGGAAATTCAGATCTGGCAAAAGCCGTATCCCTGATTTGATAAAGCACATCCTGCAATAGTATCACAAGTTTCTTACCCAAATAAAGTGCACTTTTGCTTTTCCTTTTTCTTTTAGATTATAAAAAATAAATGAGAAAAACAATACTTATTTACATTTGAATGGTTTATTTCTCATCCTCCAAAACTGGTTTAATTCAATATTAATATATTATAGAGCACTGACAGAAACACACCTTGAAAAAAACATCTGTGCACATTGCTTTACCATGGGTAATAATTGGTTCTCCCTTATTTTCTCCAGTACCATCCCAACAATCTAATTCTACACATCTAAAACTACATGACGAAATTATAAGAACAGTTTTGTGCTCTAATGTTATCTATTGATGTAATAATGACAGAGAGGCTGATCCATATCTTGGTACAGATCAATCCGATTTAAAAAGACTGATGAATCATTTTACTTGCTGCTTATACTTTGAATCTATCAGAAAGCAACACTAAGCATTTAAAAACAATGACCTGCAACCTGATAACAAGACTTCGCGATAGATTTCAGTTGAACTTTTTCCACCATACTGTCTACCTGTGAGATATGTGTTGTGTGAGCTAAAAAACAGATTCTTTAGATGAATTAATTCCAGAATTTTCAACAAAACAAATCACAAACTCAAAAGCTACAGTCTATATCGACAACTGCAAATTAAACAGACATACATCTACGAAATAATCTAGTTTTGCTAGCTACATGTTGTGGGAGCTAAACAAGAATATCAAGATTTTTGCCTTAAACTGAGATAAATGAAAATGGTTTCTGAGTATACCTATTGATGTAATAATGACAGAGAGGTTGATCCATATCTTGATACAGGTCAATTCGATTTAAAAAGACTGGCGAATTTTCATCAGACATCAAATATCGTAAAAAGGCATCACCTGACATTTTCCCTGAAAAAATCGTTCAGAATTTTTTTGATTTAATTTAAAAGCCCCGCCAGTGAAAGCATAAAATATGATGCAGAATAATTTAAAACTACCATTATTTATGTAGTTTTCATCACTTTCATATTTTGTTATCAAATGTTGCACACGTTTATCATCGAAAAATGGGAATAATATTTCGTTTAATCGTGGATCTCTCTGTTCTTCATTCAAAAAATTTATCAATCTATCTTTAGTGAGATATTCTTTCTGACCACTTCTGTAACAATAATGACGAGGAAAGGGTCTACTATACAAGGTTTATTATAACAATAACAGCCACAAATATGTTTTCAAAACCGAAAACTGTTCACTATATTTTTTATAGAGAACAGGAAATAGTATTATTTATTTTCTAAGATGTTTGAACAGGGGAATAAATAAAGATAAAGCAGATAATGATCAAATTTATCGAGTAACCCTTTCAAAAAATACAACTCACAATTTCACGAATAATTCTTGCACATCACTTCGCGGACAGATTTTATAGTAAAGTCGAATATATTTATCAAAAGTAAATAGTTCTGCATCAAGCTCATCGCGTTCCTGAAGGAGCGAAGTTATAAAACACATTTTTCTAATATTTCCAAGCTGATTATCACACTAAAAAGTTGTTTTGAAAAAAATCTAAACGCTGTTAGAAAAAAGCAAACTTTTACATATACAATAATTATATAAATTTACATACTTTATCACCTGACAATCCAAGATCACTAAGACATTTTTGCACCATTTTATCAGATTTTCCCCCAGAAAACATTTTAACAATATTTTTAATAGGGATTTTTTTCCGCTCGTTCAGTGACAAACACATATACCGCCAGCTGAAAACAATGATTCTAAATAAATAAGATAAAAGTACTATAAATTTTTTTCCGAAAGAGTACGGATAGTAATAAGGAAATATACAAGCCAGTGTCAAAAGGAAAAAAACAGAAACATACTTTTTCATTAGGCTCGTTGTATAAGAAATATGTCGTACTTTGCTTGTCCTTAAAATTTCGTTTAGCCCATTTCGCCAAATCTATAAGCTAATAGCATCTCAAATTTTTTTTTCAGTGCCACCTATTTATCTTATTTCTACAATGAAAGTTTCAAGCAGTCTAAAAATTTTAAACCAAA